TACCTCTGCTGACCAGCTCAATTACACATCCATCAGCCCTAGACACTGTCTGAGCTTATATGTCCACCTCTCCAAACACAAAACCAACTTATTTACCAACAGCCTTTCATAAGACACAGACAAGCACCTGGCATTTTAGTGAGGGAATGCAGAGGGAACAATGAGAACGAGAGGGCAGGCATGAGAAAGAGAGAAAGTCAGATTAAGAGAGTGAGAGAGAGTGAGAGAGAGAGAGAGAGAGAGAGAGAGAGAGAGAGAGAGACGGGGCAATAACGGTGTGTGTGTCCCTGGGGAAGCATCTGCCTTACTTTATTAAGGTGACCCAGTGCCAAGGCGGCAAACCAATTCAGCTCAGCATCCCAAAGAAAGACAAACAGAGAGAGGACAAAGCTGAAAGAAAGCTCTGAAAAAACAAAACAATACACCAAGACCAAACTCTACCCCAGATACTGTCTACCAGTGCTGCACCTGACTGTAATAGTTCTTACCTCATTTTAACATTTGGTTCAGTCTTAAATGTTCCTAAATAGCTCTTGGCTCAGATATACTATAGAGCCCTTAAAAAACAGGGAAGTTGCTTAACACTGTGGAACCAAGTGTCTCGCTGATGATGCATTCCAAGAATTTGACACTTTAAATCATTTAAATCTGCTGCCAGAGGAGTTACAGTATGTGCATAATGATGTTGGGCACAGTGAAACATTTCTACGTATAGAATTGTCACTTTCTATATACTACCAAGCTTGTATCACTGTATGAAAGATGCACAAGGCTTCCTTTATTGTTGGACAAACTATTTTTCTGAGCTAATGTGTGAGCTCATTCAGAGTGCAGTTCAGATCACTAAGAGCTAACCACTGATTTGTTTATTCAGAGTAACTACTACTTGTAGTTACTAGTAGTATCTACTAATTTTTGGCATTTCTATTTATGTGCTTTTGTGTAAAAAATGGAAGTCTGCAGCCCAAACTAAATAAAAATCAATATATATTTTGGGCTTTGTCAGATCATATTCATTACAAATCAAATAAACACGACAACAGCACTGAGAAATCACATTATTAATGGAGAACAGCAAATTAAATGGCAGAAATAGCCGTGTTCAACCTTTAATGGTTAAACTTGCTCATCTCATTTACATAAAAGGTTCTTCGAAGAACCATTCACTGGATGGTTATTTATGGAGCTGGTTCTTCTATGGCACCTTTATTTTCAAATATGTGCTAAACAATAATACTACACAACTTACTAAAAAAAAATGATGATATTGGTGCCATGTTAAAGAAGGTGCCTGTAGTTCTAAGCTTAACCATATGGAGGCGCTCTGTACCCCATAGACAATCCCATCTGGCGAAGACTGGAAGTGCTCCATCTGCTTACCCAGGATTCCTGGGGTGAGCTGTGCACCTCTAAGTGGGTCGTGGGCAAATGCAGTGTGTTTTAACATTCCTCCTCTAAAGACCCCTCCTCCTTCTTCATGTTTCCTCTGTTCAATTAGGACACCCAGTCCCCCCCCATCTCTCTCTCCCTCTCCTCTACTGATTCCTTCATCCCTTCCTCCCATTGGAGTCACGCATAACAAACATGTCTTCCACAGCGAGACATCAGACGGAGAACCTTCAAAGCAATCTAGAAATAGAAATTCTGTATCCGATACACATACGCGAGCACACGCACACACACACACACACACACACACACACACACACACACACACACACACTCTCTTTGAGAAGCAGCCTCTCTCCAACTCAGAGTGGAATACGAAAGCACACTAGTAGACAATGCAGCACAACAAAAACAACAAAACTGGCTTAAGATCCAGAGGTTGCAGTGTAAAAATGAATAGGGCCAAGGATGCAGCCTTGAGGCACGCCGCTGTCCAACTGCTGATCTAATGCCATGTTTAACATCACAATGCCCACCCAGCGATGCGCCTGCCACTACACTCGCACTGTTGCCGTGGAGATATGTACCACTGTTGCTGAGCAATGATGGATGGTGCCGGGATCAACCTTTTCCAGACAAAAAAGAGAGAGAGTGAATGAGTGTGGGCAGGCCTAGATAAGACGGATCTCACCCAGTCTTATGTCTGTCTCACATCACTCTCTCTCTCTCTCTCTGCTTCACCCTGGGTCTCATGTCTCTGTTGCTATCTTTTTGAACACACCAGATGTGTGGAATTAACTGTTTACTCAGCCTAATTATTTGAAGACATGTAAATATAAAGGTTCCAATCTACTGCATTTACATTAATGTAGGCACAGCAACAACAGCTCTGCTGAACCCAGTCTGACAGCATCATCAGCAAAACACACAAAGATGCAGAATATAAAGATGAAGATCTGGGGCCAGATTCACAAAAGTGTCTTAAGAAAAAAAATCTTTTTCAATGTGCCTTTTTCTTAACTACATACTTCTGAACTACAAAAGTTTATATATAGTTCTTCAAAAACATTCTTGTTTTTCAAATGTAAAAACAAGCGGTATTCTTGAAAAATACATTCTTTAGTATTTTGTTTAAACTTAGAACAGTTTCACACTTGTCATCACTTGTAGCTCTTGTTGCTAATTTTAACATTTGGTTTGACTTTGTTTTACCTTCATTCTGCTGTCCTCAGGTGCTGATGTGATTAAATAGAGTAACTGGTTAGCAAAAATATGGTACAATTTCTGGTAGTCAAAGTATAACATAATATAAATTTTAATATAGTTTTACAAGAATTGCATTTTTTGGAAAGCTTTCATGGATTGTGCCTCCGATTTTCAACATATCTTTATAATATATTAACTCTTTGAACCCTAAGGGTCCATAGATGGGGTCTACACTTCCTCATATCTTACTGACATAACATTAGTTTCATACTATTTACTGAATAACAAATCTTCAGATTCAAATATGAGAAATAATTCAATAATTCAAGGAGATGAAAATGCTTATAACTTACAGCTAAAATAATTCAAATAAGACCGCTATGATTATCTTAATATCAGCACTGCCCTGCACTTAACTCTCCCCTCAGGTCTCCTGATGCATAAAAGAGGACTGCATTTCAACCCAATTACGTCCCACTATCTGTAGGGCAGAGGGCCAGAAAAGCCATGTGAGAACACGAACACACACACACACACACACACACACACACACACACACACATACACAACCTGATCACTGATTTTCAGATGACTTTCAATGGTTTCACTGTCACAATCACTGTCATTACATTGTCTTTCAGTAGTAAAATAAAGCAAGTACACTCCAGCATCAACAACACAAAGCAGTAATGAAATCTCCTCAAAGCCTGTGCAGGTTTGGTGTGGTAAAAATCTGCTTAAAATCCACAGCAGGTAGGGCTGAACGATCACTTTTATACTAAAATCACAATTTGAAGGAGTGTAGTTTTCAAATATTATATTCTCAACACTTATCTTAAAGGGCCCATAATCTACACTTAGATTTAATTATTTCCCCTAAGGTCCACTTAATGTCCACTTATACTGTTCGTGTAGGTTCATGTGCCAAAAACAGTCAATTTATATATGACCATTTTCTACTGTCTCTTTATGCTTTAGAGTTTAACAGGCTGTTTTTATTACTGTGCCTTTACAATTGGTATGCAAATGAGCTCTGTTCTGATTGGCTGCCCTGTATTCTGCCTCATACAGAAAGCAGTCCAGGCTGAAACACTCTTTATAACTTCAGCGTGAATAGTTGGATCTAAACGGCTGTAGGCTAACTAGGTAGACATATGTACACGTGACATCACAAAAACAATGGATTAAAAACTTGCTTTCCATATATGGACTGTATAAAAAGCGAGGAAAATTTTGTTTCTCGTTGTATGGGCCCTTTAAGTTTTAAGTGGGGAAATTCAACATAGCAAAGATACCTGTGGATGACTTAGTTCAATCAGGAGCAATCAAAAACCCATATGCTGTGTGCATGACAACACAACCACAACTGGCAGTAAAAGGCGGTGTTCAAGCCTCAAGCCAGACAAAATGGATATGCTGGTCTTCTTTGCCAAAAAACATCACTTGCATAAAGCATCATAGTATTTATCCTAAGTTAAATGCTTAAGGGCTAACTTAAAGTTATACATTTAGATTTAAATTATGCAACTGTCAAAACTGTAAGTGCTGAAACCTAAAAGGGTCTTGAAAAGGTCTGAAAGTAAATTTACACTTACAGATTTTTCCATTTTAAGGTCCCACTGAATTTCCTTGAAGACATTTTATAAAGATCAGTTTAAATGTGAAGGGAAAAATCAAGGCAAAAATTCACTTAAGGTGTTTAATGCAAATGATCACTGGACCTTAATTTATAAAATCACCACTCCAACTATTGGTCAGAAAAACCTTAAGATGTTTTCCTCAAATCGTTCAGCCCTAATAATATTTCTGTTTACATTTCCACTAATTAAGAGGCAAAGTTAACAGAAAATATCTTCCTTTCTCACACATTTCAGTGGAGTTTAACTACTGGCTCCGAAAGAGGGAGAAAGAGGAACAAAGAGAGAGTAGCACTGTTCTCAGGGCAGAGTAATCCACAGTGTGATGGAGTGTGTGTGTGAATTTAGGTGGGTGCACGTTGTTTTTCTTGCAGATGCTATGATACTCATGTGGGAGAGGATGATTTATAACATCACAGTTTGACTCACACACACTGAGGCACAGCATGCATATAAAGTCCCCTAGAGGCCATGTTCTTTATTGTGAGATTATTTTACAGCAAAACTGTGTACGTTTGTGGGGATTAGAGATGTATTTTAAGCAATTGTATTTTACCCTACGACATATAAGTCATATACGACATGATTAACACAGTGCAAACAGAGTCTAATCTGTTTCTCTCTCCTTACGAGTCTCTCTCTCTCAAAGGAGCCATAATTTAAAGAAAATCAGTTTCTCCACTGAGCTGTTCATTTACATGATCCATTTACTTTAAAATGTTTCCTAACCCAAAAAAGACAATGAGCATGCAATTGTGTGCTCCCTACCTGATGGGAAGCGTTCGATGACCGGCTGGTTGTCCACCTGCAGTGTGGCGTTTCCGCCGCTCCTAGTGAAGCGCACCACATGATATTTGCCATCGCTCACCACCACCCCACTCTCCTCGATCGCTATGTCGTCCGTGCCCACGTTGAAGATGACCCCGATCTTCCCTCGCTCCTGAGAGAGAGACACAGAAAGAAATCATTTAGCTACTTAAAATCCCAGGCCTATTACAAACTAAGGCTTATTTTTCAGTAACTACAGGGACTTCAATGCAAACTCGCTTAGCTATTCTTAGGTTATAGAAAGGTGTAATAAAACTGGCCACTTAAGAAGTTACATTACCTCTATAGACTGATGGAGATAAGTTTAAACTTAGCAGTACTGTAATACTGCAAAGCTATGACTGTATGAATTTGAGGAAAAGAAAGAGCGAGGCAGGGAGGAAGAGACAGACAGACAGACAGAGAGAGAGAGAGAGAGAGAGAAAGAGAGACAGAAACAGAGAGTGTGACCTATTTATTACAGTTCTGTCACAATACTGAAATAGAAGAGTTAGTTTGACTTCTACTGTGGACTTTAAAAAGTCAACATCTTTCAGGCCCAGGGCACACCCATTCTCATTCTCTTCACAAACACTGCCATTATCCACCAAACACCATAATTCTCCATTAAACACCATCATTTTCCACCAAATACCCCATTTTCCATCAACCATGTTCTTTCTAGACATGATCTACTCATTCTACACACAACAAATACCAACATACTCCAGCATCACCGACACCATCAATCTCTATCAAACACATTCTCCAAGAAACACTACCATTCCACATTAAACACCTTTATTCTCCACCAAACAACATCATTCACCAAGATACACTATCATTCTCCAAGAAACACCATTATTTTCCATGAAACACCAACATTTTCCATATTTGACATCACAACTCTCCAACAAACACCAACATTCTGCACCGAAAAAACATCAGCCTCTATCAGAGACCATCACTGTTCAAAAGAAAATGGTTTAAAACAGAATTGGACAGTGTGGTGGAGCTGATATAGAGAATGTGTCTATGTGTGTATCAGAGAGCGAGCTATTAAGATGGGGAAATTTTGTTTACACAGTGCCCTACAACATTGTAATGACTATGGGAAAGTTATTATTTCTGCTGTATACCCAAGCTGTTGGACTTCATTAAAAGTTAAATAGATAAATAAGAAGCAAACGTATGCAGTGTGTCTGTGTTATGAAGCTCTGTCGAAACAAAATGAGATGTTCATACAATGTAAACGAAAGTTATTTCTTGTAAATGAAAGTGATTCTTAAATCATGAGATAAAAAAAACAGACAAAGGTAGATTTGTTCCTACAGTGACAGCATGTGTATTACTGGCAATACTTTAGGTGACACTGTATTTTGAGTGGTCCTTCGTAAATAAACAAACACTGAACGGACTCTCAGTAGCATGTCAAAAACACATACGGGTTAGGATTAGGTTTTGTGTTGAGGTGAAGGTTAGGGTCAGGATTAGTGCCAGGGTTAGGGTTAGGTTTTGGGTAACGTTTGGTACGGTTAGGTTTTGCGTAATAAAAGCAAGATATTAACAATACATCTACTTAACGTCAGTAATGTATCAACAGAACATCTACAAGATATTTACTTCAATGTATTCAGATGATTCACTACTGCTACTTCACTGATATGTTGTTGATGTGTTACTGAGAATCTGTTAAGACTTATCTTAACAGACTTAACTTACATTCAACTAGAATCTATTAACTTCACTTTGATTTTTTCTTACCATACTCTTAACCCTAATCCTGGTTCTAAACCTAACCCTGATCCACATCCTAACTGTAACACTGTTGAGAATCAACCAGGTTTGACCAGAATGTTTATTAACAATCTGAGCATCTGCAGATATTCCATATGTGGCTACAGTGTACTATCCAAATAAAGCGAGACCTAGACTCCATATTTGATGAGGATAAGTACTGACACAATCAAACTTGTGTATCTGAGTGTTTGTGTTTGTAGGCGTACCAATTAGTGTCTTACCCCTCTCCCAACCCGTTTCATATCTATTACGAGTGACAGCCACCTACTGCTCACACTTCATTATAGTGTCTCTCTCTCTCATCTTCCCTGTCTCTCACTCCCTCACTCTCTCTCACTCTGTGCCTCCGCCCTTTCAGTCAACAAAGGTCAAAGTCATTTACAGAAAGAGTGAGAGAGGAAGACACTTACAGAGATGGAGACATATAGTGACAGGGAATACACTTTCATGCCTTATAGTAGCACACAGGATATAGAATAACATATAGGCCTATTTTATGTCTTACACATTAAATTTTAATATTACAATGGAATTCTGGAGGTGTTTAAAAACTACATACACCTTTACCTGTGCTAATATGATGCATGGCCATACACTGAAAAAAATCTCATCCAACTCCTTTGCCTTCTATGCTGAGATTGGTTTGAGTGAACAGGAAATAGGAAGAAAGTTTTCCACCCTTCTTTTCTTATTGCTTCCTGGTCCATCTCATTAACTAATTAGCAATGCACATTTATTCATGAACCACGACACGCTGAGACATTCCTTTTTATGGTTGAAGTATGGCATTAGCTTTAGGCAGCTCATAAATATTCATTTTGATTAAATAATTTTCTGGGAGCCCCCCTAAAATGTTAAAGTGGCTAAAGCAGTGATTTAATTGAGCAAACAGGAGCAGGGGTTGTTGGGTAAATTAATGATGAGTCTAATCGCAGGCTAATTTATGCGCATCCTATCCACTGCTTGCCCTGAGACACGCTTCTAAAGTATTCCGATACAGTGGAAAACCTTTTTCCAGCAAATGCTGCAGTCAGTTTCATGAACGTTGTCGCTAATCAGTGTTTGTTACCCTTTCTCTAAAATAAGGAATTTAACAACAGCTAGAAGTTAATCATGAGTGAAAAATCAAGGGTTAAGTGCGTTTCTCAGAGAAACATCCAGTTAAGACTGAACATCAGACCTCAGCATCAGATCTTTCCCAGTTCTCCCGCAGCAGGAGTAGAACATTATGTTATCTGGGTGCTCTGGAGAGCTTTACTGGGTAGGAATAGACAAGGTTGAAACATATCGACAGAGTCTGAAGAAACATGTAGTTACACAGATAGACAGATACTTTATTAATCCCACAGGAAACTGAAAGAGTGTGTTCACTCCCAGTAACCTAAACTGCATGCCTGGCTCATTACTTCAGCTTTTTTCTCAAGAATGAATTTTATCCTTCATAGAAAAATACCTTCAGAACAGAAAGAGAAATGAAGGGAGACAGAGACCGAAACAAACAACTGTAGAGAGTAGGATACAAAGAAAGTGATAAGGAGATAAGAGAGAGAGTAAGAGAGTGAGAGAGAGAGGGAGACAGACAGAGAGATGGAGAGATATTTACCCAGATTAGCATTTGCGTTCCGCAACATTAAGCCCTTCTCTCCATGTTAAAGATGGTGAGGACCCTGTTAAAGCAGTGTCTCCAGCAGGGGTTTTAAATCTACTTTCAGGGCTGTAGTAATGATATTTTAATGGCTGCTTACCCTCCACTCAACCTCATCTGACCTTGCCCTCACAGTGTGGCTATCGTGCCGGAACAGGAAAGTTAGCTGGACATTTATTCTGATGTACAAAATTCAAAACTTTAAGCTCCTTAAAACACTGTGGTGTCCACCACTGGCCACGCTGCTGTGGGGAGCTTAGTGGGCATGGCCTTGCAAAGTGTCACTCGGGAGGTGCCACACTCATCGACTATGAACAGACTGCTGTTGTAGTTGTTGTTGCTGACGTTATCAGTGCAGTTGTACTGCTTTGAAATTAAATTGTGTCCAAGGAGGGTGGATTTTGTGTGTGAGCTTGTCTACCCTCCTCATATGCCGTGTCCTCCAGCGTTACTCCCTCCCCGTGTTTCGTGTTGGGGTAGTGCTGGGCTGGGCATTTCTTGCTGCCTTTGAAGTGTCTGTTCAATAAATAAAAGAGCATCTGCCCATATGTGCAATGTTTTCTGCATCTCCTTCTGCACCAGTACCAAGGACGATTTTTACTGGAACAGGGAAGTTAGTTAAGAACGCATAATAAACATTAACTTAGAAAGTCCAGATCTTTCAGGCCACACTAACCCATCCTTTTCCGCACACATCACCATTCTCCAACAACCACCATCAATCTCCTCCAAACACTATTTTCACCAAACATCCTCAACAAACGCCAACGTTCTCCAACAAACACTTATCACTTTCCACCAAACATCATAAATCTCTAAATCAAACACCTTCACTTTTCATCATATACCATAATTCTCCATCAAACATCATTCTCCACCAAAAACAATCGAGCACCATCATTCTCCACCAAACACTTTCATTCCGACCATATATCAAGTTCTCCACCAAACACTATCATTCTCCACCAAACGCCTACATTCTCCAACAAATACCTTCTCCATTAAAGTCTATCCTAGGGTTTCAGTCACATGGTTTTTCTATCGTGGCCTCCATATTTGGGACCAAACCTCTGGCATAACTAGAGGTGAAAAACGGTTAAAATTAATCACTTTACTTTGGAAGAAAGTGGTGGAAAAGCTACCAAATTTGTGTTTTCCTGACATTTATATTTATCTCATATACAACCCCTCTCCCTATTCTGTAGAGTCTCTCAAAGCATTTAAAAGCACAGAAGCCCACTGGCTCTTCACGTCAGGGTGGGTAAAAGGTCCCAAGGTGTTGCATAAAGAAGAGAAAAAACTCTGTCATCATAGGAGGGTAAGGCGATATCAGCTAATTAACACAGATGTGAACAATGCTAGCCTTTAGATAACTTTAGTTAATGTTAACAGCCAAGACATAAATAGTTGTTTCCCTAACAGAGCTGCAAACGGCCGGGTATAACTTTACTACTCTGTTTCTGGAGATTTCAATGACGTTTGAATGGAGAAACATAAACGTTTAGTATAAGACTGAATGTCGCATGGGTCAGCAGGGCTGCCGGAACCACAGTGACAAGCAGGCATTCGCCCCACTACTTTTTCAGATCAGAACGCACCCTGGTTAAAATACCTTATTTTGTCAGCTAATTAATCCCTTCTTGAGCTGAACGAGGTGTGAACAGAAGAGAAAAACACTAAGCTATACC